ACCAGATGCGGTGGTTACCTCACAGAGTCAATAACATGATCATTTAACCTTCTCAACACACAGCCTCCTACAGCTTTTGAAACCGATCCTCTTTGATATTGAAGAAACAGCAAATGACATGCCTACGGCAGCAATATCCGTCATTCAGTTCAGGACAGCCAGCCATTGCTTCTGAAGCCTTACGATGGCAGTTATGGGAAATTGCATATCCATGCATTACCTTTTGGTGTAATCGATTTCTCCACCAACACATCTCGCGTAAGGGCTTGGCTCTTTTATTGAATCTACAACTTTCAATACTCAATAGCACCATGATCCCATAAATATGGCCCTACCTTGCTCCTCAAACATCGCTAAATCTATGGGAAATAACGTCTGTTTTGGAAATCGACAACTATCGAATAACAGAAGGGGTGCATCGGCAAGAGAACCTACGGGTTAGACTGGCGGCGGTCAAAGCAGATTGCCAATCTCGAAGGAGTTGCTCTTCATCTGGCTGGTATTGGCTGGCTGCCTGATGGACCTCGTGCTCACGCCAAACGCGATAAAATTGCCCTTCACAAGCCCTTATGCTTCCTGCCAGCGCATGACGCAGAGTACTTTGCTGGTCGAATACTCCCCAACAAGCCTAATTGAAAAGGAGTAACTGAGTCAATCAACGTGTTTGTGCTTGCGCGCGGTAATGACCTGAAACTAGCCAACTGCAAAAGACAACGATGATGATGAACTATCTCCTGTCAGAGCGTGGTTCCAAAAAGCGTTGTCTGAAAACGATACACCATAGTTCTCACGCGATGAGTTCGTACTCGTATCAATCACAAGGCACCTCATCTGGTGCCTTAGACTTGAAATGCTGGCCACACCAAGCGCATCTGCCAATCTTCCAGATTTCAGGTACTATAATTCCTTTTATGGATGATATGAGACTCAAGCAAGCTAAGCATGAAAATTCCAAAGCTCAAGTAGTTGAACATGAATAAAGTGCAAAATTCGAAAATAGCTGTGCGGGTATGGTAAACTAGGTGCAGGTTAGTTCACAATAAGAAAAGCCGTAGACGCACAAATTACGCCTTTTTCAGACTCATCACAGCTCCAAATTCGACAAAGCATGTTCGGGAGCTAACAGGCAACCGTTCATTTGGTAAACCTTAAAACCCTTCGATACTAAGGTGTAGTTTACGCTGGAAGGCAATTAGGTAGAATGCGTGGAAATTTTCCCAACTACTGCTATCAGCAAGAGCAAAGGACACCTATTCGTGCACAATGTAAGAACGCACCCTAACCTTGCTCTAGAGTCCCAAAATCCCGACATTTTACGAAGTTGAATTGTGACACGAATATGAAGAAAGTGTGCGGAATCGCCACGCAGTGGATGCAATAAAACTTAGCATGGTACTTACCTGCATTAAGCTATCCAGTAAGCAATCCCCATCGGTTCGATTCCATAAAGCTAGAAGTCGGCTGGTAGGTTGATTTTGTTGTCCTTCAACAACCCACCAGTTTATTGCCTGACTTCGAACCTCCAGTTCTGAGGACGCGAAAAATAGGGAAGGGTTGAAAGACAAACTCGTAAATTTTTCGTCTGATCAAACAAAAGACTAACCATTTTGCACTTCTGTATCACAGAGCTCTTTTATAATCACTTCCTGCACTGAGCAAGGGAAATCTCTAACCTCCCTGGGGAGATAAAAGGTGCTGAATTCGGTGAGATAGGAGCAGTGGAACGTCCCTTTTCGTTGACGCACACATGAGTCTAAGAGTCTCCGTAACTCCTTAGCCGCACAACCGCTTGACTGGCAGACCGAACGTTTGGCACTTGGTCTTGTCTGAGGGTTTGTCGGACAGAAGGCTGAGAGACTACTAACCCACTCCGTTCGATTGTAGGCTCTTGCAAGATCAAGGAGAGAAAGACCTGGCTTGAGGAAATTACTCTCGCCACTAGACCACTGTTCCAGCAGTTGACAGTCCTGTGAGGTGAGTTGATGAGAGGAGAGAAGAGATAGAGATTCAGCAGTGAGAATGAATTTTTTAAGGACATCAGAATCACCCGTGATGACAGCCTTGCAAGCAGAAATCCAGTCGATGTTGGTGAGGGCAATGGTATATGG